CCCTGGCCCCAGCTCCGCCTTCCACCCAACCCTCGGCTGTCTGGAGTGTCTCGGGACCCTCAGGCCGGCCCGTGTCCACAGGTGTTCTCCAGCGCCAAGTACCCGGCTCCAGAGCACCTGCAGGAACACAGCTCCATCTTCACAGGCGCCCAAGACCCTGGCCTGCAGAGACGCCCCCGTCACAGGATCCAGAGCAAGCACCGCCCCCTGGATGGGCGGGCCCTGCAGGTGAGGGGCACCCCTGGCACTGGCCACTTGCTCCGAGGCTCGCTGGTGGCGAGGGGATCAGGGCCCACTGTGGGTTCTGTCCTCCAAGACGGGGTGGGGTAGCTTTGGCTGGCACTGACATCTCCACCCCTTTCACCCCTGGCCTCCCCAGGAGAAGCTGCAGTACTTCCCGGTGTGTGTGAGCACCACGCCGCAGCCCGAGGACGCTGCCGAGGAGGGGCTGGGGGCTCTTCCCAGCAACATCAGCTCTGTCAGCTCCTTGCTGCTCTTCAACACCACTGAGAACCTGTATGGCCAGATGGTGGCAGGGCCATGGAGTCCTGGGGGGGAGGTCTGCCTGGCTTAGCGGGGACCGTAGGGGCGGCAGACTCTGGCCAGCAGGAGCATGAGGCTGGGAGCCAGGAGCTGACTGTGGGGTTTGGCTCGGGAGACCTGGGATCCCCAGAGTGCACTGTGCCCCGAGGAAGTGAGAGATGTAGGTGCGGACCACAGGCCTGGGACAGACGATGGCCTGCTTGTCCCCACCCTGCCCCTGTAGGTACAAGAAGTATGTCCTCCTGGACCCCCTGGCTGGTGCTATCACAAAGACCCATGTAATGCTGGGGGCAGAGACGGAGGAGAAGCTGTTTGATGCCCCTCTGTCCATCAGCAAGAGAGAGCAGCTGGAGCAGCAGGTGGGGAAGGAGGCGGGGGCTGCCCGGGCTCTTCTCCAGGCGAGGGCTCTGTTGAGCCCCGTATCCTACCTAGCTCCGTGGTGTGTGCACAAGGCCCCACTTGCTGCCCCTGCAGGTCCCTGTCACTACTCACATGCCCCCTCCTAATCCTGCAGGTCCCAGAGAACTACTTCTATGTGCCAGACCTAGGCCAGGTGCCTGAGATCGACGTGCCATCCTACCTGCCTGACCTGCCTGGCATCGCAGATGACCTCACGTACAATGCTGACCTGGGCCCTGGCATCGCCCCCTCTGCTCCTGGCACCATTCCAGAACTACCCACCTTCCACACAGAGGTAGCTGAGCCTTTCAAGCCAGGTGAGCTGGGTGCTGGGAGGGAGCTGGACTAGGGAGCTCCCTGCTCGGCCACCTTCTTCCCTGAGCACCTCACACTTTCTCACCTTCCCTTTCAGATCTAGAGAATGGGGTGCTAACAGCACCCCCACCACCTCCACCACCGCCACCGCCTCCCCCAGCTCCTGCAGCTCTGGTCAGCGCCCCCCTACCCCAGACCATGGCCCCTGCAGGCCAAGGTGCCAGGGAGGACGAGAGCAGCAGCAGTGTGTCCCCTTCAGGTGGGAGCAGTGCGGGGGTTGGAGGCTCTTTCTGAGGGTGTCTCTAATTTCAGGATCCCTGAGGGATCTTCTGTAGGTGTGTTAAGTGGTCTTAAATCCTAGATTTTCAGAATAGTCCTCATTTCAAGTATCTTGTTGTACTGGGTTGATAAAATAGTGGTTTTCAAACTGTAGAGCTCTGGAATTCTGACCTCCAGAACTGTGGGGCTCTGGATGCCCCACCCCGCCCCCAGTTAAACCAATGGAAGAAAGGGGTCTGCTAAAAAAAATAATTGAAAACTACAGCAACAAAATATTCAGTATCCCTGAAATTACGCAATTTCAGGTTTAACGTCCTATCTCCCAGGCTGTGTCCAGCACCTAGAAACGGCACAGACACGCTTTGCAGGCTCCCGTGTCCAGTAGACACCGTCAGCACGTGGATAACTCACAGGGCTGCCTCTGCAGGGTGGCACCTGGTCACAGGGGTGGACAGGGCAGGAGGTGCCTGCACACAACACTCCTGAGCTCAGGCCACTGCAGACATCAATGTCCAGGCCCCGCTCCGTCTCCGAAGGCCTGGCTGCACCACCTGCTTCCTCTTTCAAGAGGAGGCGCCTTCCCCAGGCTCTTGAGGTGACAAGTGAGGACTGGAGCTTCACCCCCACCACAGGCTGGGCGAGGCTGTCCCGCAGCCTAGCCCTGCCTGAGCAGCCCTTCCTCCGCGCACCTTCTCCCCTCCCAGCTCCGGTCCAGGGAGCGCCCAAGGAGGTGGCGGAGCCCTCCAGTGGCCGGGCCTCTCTGCTGGAGTCCATCCGCCAAGCTGGGGGCATCGGCAAGGCCAAGCTGCGCAGCGTCAAGGAGCGCAAGCTGGAGAAGAGGAAACAGAAGGAGCAGGAACAAGGTGAGGGGACCCCAGGGCCACTGCAGTAGGAGGGGTTCAAGCAAAACACCACCTTCCCCTCCCACACCACCCGAGTCCTTCAGGGTGCCCTCTCTCCCCCCTCCCCCCGGGTGAGGCTCATATCCCAGCTCTCCGCACTCCCAAATACGCCGTGCTTCCCCTGTGCACTTGCTGGAAGCCCTGGGTGGCCATAGGCTCCTTCCTGGTTAGGGAGCCACTTAGTGGAGCTTTCCTCTCTAAGATCACCCAGCTCAAACTAGGACAAGAGGGAATCTTCTGAGACTCTGCCAAGAGTTGTCCAAGGAAATGGTCAGGTATTTTAGAGACAGAGACCTGAGGTTGAGCTCAGTGCTACTTCTGTAAGCCTCTTGAGCCTGCAGAGCTCGTCTCCTGTGAGTCCCAAATGCTGGCCTAGTGTGACGCCTGGGTGTGCAGCAGCAGTGTCCCCAGCCCGGTCCTGCTGCTGCTGTGGCCCAGGCAGGTTGCCTAACCTCTCTGGGCCAGTTTCCTCCCCCGTGCGGTGTCTCCCAGGGTGGCTGTGAGAGTGTAACTCAAACATCGCCTTTGTCTTATTAGTGCCTGGTGCTGGGTTCAGGGATGAAGCTCTAAGAGGCCGTGGGGGGCTGGGGAGTGTCTCGGGGGGATGGGGAGCCAGGAGGGCCGTGTCATTGAAGCCCCCACCTGCGGCTACTGTGTTGCAGTGAGAGCCACAAGCCAAGGTGGGGACCTGATGTCGGACCTCTTTAACAAGCTGGCCATGAGGCGCAAAGGTAGGAGGCACAGCTGCCTTCCCTGGGCCGGGTCAGGGATACTTTGCATCTCCCATGTTCTCCTGCCTTTTCCTTCCTGCTTTTAAGTTTCCGGGGTCCCGGTGAACTGGTGCCCCCTCTCCCTGACTCTCGGCCTTTTCCATCCCAGGGATCTCCGGGAAAGGACCTGGGTCAGGGGCCAGTGAGGGCCCGGGAGGCGCCTTTGCCCGAGTGTCAGACTCCATCCCGCCTCTGCCTCCGCCTCAGCAGCCACAGGGAGAGGAAGATGAGGATGACTGGGAGTCCTAGGGGCCTGTGTCATGCCTCCCCCAGAGGCCTGGGCTGCTGCCCTCGCACGGAGGGGCCGGGACACAGGCTGCCCCAGGTGTGTGCCTGGACCTTCTTCAAGGACGGGGAGGCTGGCTGCAGGCCCCAGGGCTGCCGGGGCACCACCCTATGACTGTGTGCCACCCCTCACCAGAGGGCTCTTGTCGTCCCTGAAGAGACTTTGAGAGACAAGCGCACCGCGGATCAATAAAGAAGCGTAAGCAGAACTGAGCAGAAACCACCAGTACACTTTCAATTATGGAACAGGAGCCATGCAGGGCGCGCACATCTCAGAGCCAGCGCTGTCCTCCTGTCACGTGGGAGTCTGTGTGATGGGGCAGGACATCTCAGGGCACCAAGGCTCCTTTCTCTGGGGTCAGACACAAGAGAGGTGCAGACGGGAGGGAGAATACCTTCCGACAGGAAAAAGCGTCTCAGCGACAGACATGGGGTCTCTAAATAGTCACGCTGAGAGACTAATGGCCCTTGATATAATTGCTGATGTCAGGGCAGAAGGTGTCTTCCAGTTTGCTCAAGTGGTTGGGAGGAGTGAGGTGGGTGGGGACACTCAGAATCCCCTGGGCAGGAGAAGCCCTAGGGCCACGAGGGGCTGGAAGTGGAGAACATTTTAAATTTAGAAGGAGAGTGAAAGGTCTAAAATAGCTAATTTTAGTGAGAAAGGGCAGAGGCACATTGTACCCTGGCCATGCTCAATCAGAAGACAGACTCAATTCCAGGGAGGGGGCTGCCCTGGGTTGGGCCCAAGGGTGGCTGGCACCCACACCCCATCTCTGGCAGCCCTGGTGAAGGAAGAGCCTGGCAGGGGCAGCGGTGTCCCCGTGCATCAGGAAGAGGCAGACTTCTCCCGATGAAACTGTGGGGAGAGGATGAGGCAGTGAGAAACCAGACCTCAGGGTCGGGGAGGCTCTCAGGGTAGGGGAGAGGCAGGACTGACCTTCCGCAGAATGGCTACGGCAGGGCCAAAGGAGGCTGTGACCTCCACGCGGTCTCGGATCCAGGCTGGGAGCTTGGCCAGGACGGGGCGCTGGGCGTAGCGCTGGTCCAGGAGCACTATGCTGGCAAAGTCCCGCTGGTGCCTAATGGCCCTGCCTGGATGGGCGTGACGGGCTGAAGCTCCGGGGCAGACCTGCCTCCCGATGGTACGTCCCCACGGGGTCCCCTACCCTTCCTCGGCCCTCAGATGGGGGACGGGGCAGGTGAGCGCCTCTTTCCTGCTAGAGCATTCTCCACCCGTCCACCTCGATGGGCAGCCATGGTCCCGGGCTTACCTATGGACTGGTTGACAGCCTTCATGCACAGGTTCTCCACCAGAGCCCTCCCTGGGGGAGCCTTCCCTGGCCTTCTGGGCTGGGAAGGGTAAAGGAGATGACCTGTGAGGGCTGCGTCCTGCCTCCTGCCTCGCGTCCCCACTCTCCCTGGGAAACAGCCTGCCAGGCTTTAGAGCCAGACCAGGCGGCTTGGAGGGCCAGTGCCGGCAGCAGATGCCACAGGTGACATCACAGAGGAGATCAAGAGGGTGTGGAAGTGTGGCCAGACCTCTCAGTGGACAGGAAACATGGGTGAGTGGGCCTTGCCATCTCAGCCTAGGGTGTCACCGCCACCCCCACTGTCCTCGCATCCTCTGAATGCCAGAGGCACTCACAAGGGTCTGATCCAAGTAGGCCATCCTCTCTCGTAGCTCTGGAGACCTGACGTTGGGGTAGGGCATGCCCACCACGACCACACACCTAGGGTGGAGACGTGAGCGAGTGAGTGTGGTATTAGGCCCCGCCCGGGTCCTCACCCTGCACCGCCAGCTGCTACGTTCTACCACTCCTCGGGCCTCCCCAGCTGTGCTCGGTCGCTCTGTCACTCCCCTCTGTCGTACCCACCACCTGGAAAGGGCTTGCCCAGTGTAGAGATCCAGTCTACAATGAACAGAGTCCTGGGAAAGTTATGGCCTAATTTCCCACCTGCTCTCCAAGGGCCAGATCGCGTTGCTGAAACACTCCCCCCACCGCTGAGGGATCCTGAGCAGGCACAGCCTGGCGGCAGACTCGGATGGCAGCAGATCGCAGGCAGGGGCCCAGTGGCCTGGAGCGTAGGGCGCCGGGTACCGCAGCCCCAGGAGATGAGCAGGGACCACTACTTACCGGCCTAGGTTGTCAGAGAAGTTGATCCCTTCACTCATCTTTCCTCCAACCACAGAGAGGAGCAGGGCCCCTGTCACCTGGCCTTTTGCCTGGCCACAGCGCTGTGGGACAGACCGAGCCCAGGGCTGCTGAGCCACAGCTTGCTTGGATGTCACCCGAAATGTTTCCACCTATGAATCCCATGTGGTCTCCGGACCCAAGCCTCAGAGTGACCCTCTCACCTCAATGCACTTGGAATACTCCGTCAGCACCTGCTCCACCTGGTTTGCACTCTTGGGTTCCTGGAAAATCTGGAAGCAGAGAATGTCTCCCAGAGATGGGTCCAGAACGCTGGGTCTCAGGTCTGCTTCTGGCCCTGTGTGTTCCAGCCGGGGGACTAGAGAGCCTCACAGAGCTACGGGCTTTGGGGAAATCGTCTGTAGTCAGGGAGGGGGGCCGTGGGGCTGAGGCACCGGGAGAAGCCCAACCACCCCCACTCCCTGAGCGTGGGAAGGCCCAGGAAGAGCTCTGGGTGGCACCGTCCTCATGAGCGGGAGGTGCGGCTGAAGGGCCACTCACCTTCTTCCTGGCGGCCAGGCGGCCCAGCAGGCCACTCTTCTCCCAGTGGGCGTGGACCTGGCGCTGGTACTCGTAGGAGGGGAAGAAACAGACCACCCCTCCGGGAACCACGTTGCACAGGTTACAGAGAATGCGACCTGCCTCGTGCATCTGAGGAAGGAAGACAAAGAGCAACCCTAAGGAGCAGGCCTGAAGTCCCCCCATAAATGGCTTCTTAACCTTGGGGTTCAAAACCAAGGACAGAGACCCACGGTGTGACTACAGCCAGGGAGGAGGACTTTGCCCAGTGGCTCCTCTGGGTGGGAATCAGTGGAATGTGCCACCGTCCCCTCACCACACCCAGCTGCTGCTTCTGGCGACCGACCGCCTTTCTGACCCTGGCAGTGCTAGCGCCCCAGAGACGAGACTTCCCGTTGCCATGGCACTGAGGCCCTTCTTCATCGCCCAGTGTCCTGGTGGGCACCCTCTAAGACAGGTCAGGCGCTGAACACCCCAGGCATGGAGATGGGCCCCAAGACCTGCATCCCTGCCCACGGCAGGGGCAGATGAACCCAAGGGAAGAGAACCAAAGGAGACCAGCGGCTTTCTCGTGCGCCGTGTGCTAAAGGGATGTGGGAGGTTTCCAGAAAACATATTTAGCAGCCTATGGGTTGGGGGTGGGGCAAGCTCAGACCTTCCTTATAAACATCTAGACAGACACTGCTCACCCTGAGTAGGCTCCGGGACAGATGCCCCAGGATGGGCCAGAGCAGCCCCCACCCAGGAAGTCCCCCTCCCTGGCCGGGACTCACCATCTGTGGCAGCTCCCTGCGCTGGAACGTGAATTCCAGCGGCTGGCCGGAGATGCCGCTGCAGAGGACGATGGGCAGGATGTTGTCTGGAGGGATCACGTGACCTGGTGAGACCCAGGGAGGGGCTGAAACCCGGAGCTGCAGATGCTCTGCCAGGGGGAGTCCGGCAAGGGCGTTTCCCCACCGTCTTCCAGAGCAGGAGCAGCGATGGGCCTTTCCTGACCTCTCCCCTGGAGGTGCAGCCCCACACCCCATCCACTGCACCGTTTCATCCTCCTCATGGGCGAACATGCTGATTTCAAATAGGAGCTATTAGTTTTCAGGTTTCTTATCTGTCTCTCTCCACAGAAACGCGAGCTCTCCGAGGGCAGGGGCCACACCTCATGCACCTCTACGTCCACAGCATCTGGACGCGCGCACCCAGAGCACACGCCCGAAGAGCGCTGGTGAGGTTAAAGTGTGAATGGAAACGGGGCTCGTGAGGTATTAATAGAAACCTGCAGTCTGGAGCAATGGAAGCCTTAAGGTGAAAAGGAAAACTCAGGCTAAGGATGACGCCTTGATGGTTACGTCAGAACCTCGCACAGTGCAGTTCGGCATTTAAGAGCCTGAGATCTAGAGCCATCCTGGCTGGTCGTCAGTCCCGGCTCTCCACTCACTAGCCATGTGGCCTCGGCCAAGGCATGTCCCCTCCCTGGGCTGCAGCTTCCTTGTGTACGAAGCACAGACACCTGTACTCTGCCATCACTGGGCTGCCGCGAGGATAACTGAGTCAACAGCCGTGAGGCCAGTGACTGAAGGGTGGCTGTCACTGGCCCAGCATTTATGATCCTAAGAAGGAGTGTGGCTTGGAGAAAGGGGGCAGGTGGCTGTCATTCCCTCTCACCGGTGCTCTACGAGTGTCTCTGGCAGGAGGGAAATTGCTGCCCTGGCGGGAGCCCCCAGACAACCCAGGGCAGGGCAGGAAGCAGCAGCAGCTGTCTCACCCTCGAGCTGTTCTTTTCTCCTCGTCTCCCTCATATTCGGCCAGGACCAGCTCCTCCTCCCCAGCCTCCAGCTGCTCCGGCTGCTCGGCCCCCGTTCCTGCTGCCAGCATCTCCCTGCTGAGGTGCAGGAGACTCTCGGTTTCTTCTTCCTTCTGTCTCTGGACAGGGTTTTGGAGGTGGGTAAGCGGGAGACATCTCAGCACGGGTGCGCCCGCCCCCGGTGGAGCCAGCCTGGGCGAGTGCCCGTGAGCACAGGCCTCACTGCTCCATGGGAGAAGGGACAGGCTCCCAGGATCCGGGCTCTACTCACACTGCCCAGCTCCAGGGTGAGGGGAACTTAGCCAGCCGGGGTCGGGAAGAGGAGACCAAGCCCGGCCACTCCCCAGAGTCTCCACGCAGCGTGACACTGCCTGGACATGACCCCAGCCCCTCCCTGAGATGACACTCACCAGGCACTTGGCTGCACACGTGAGCTGCGAGTTGTGGTGGATCCGCTGCAGGCGTTCTTCTCGCTTCCTCCTCCGGATCTGCTCCTCCTGAAGGGCGAGGCAGCCATAGAGGACACTCACGCAGGAAGCCCCTGGCCTTTCCTAAAGTGTCTGGGGCTACTCAGCCCACACCTCCGCACACTGCAGCTCTCCTTCCTGGCCAGGGCTCAAGGCTGCTGCGGCCTCCCCTCCCCAGACCCTCAACCTCCGCAGGCTCCAGCCTCACTGCTCACGGCGGGCAGTCTGCACCCTCCCTCCCAAAGCCACCTGCTCCCAGTCACACCCATCCCTTAACTGAGTCTGCAGCCAC